TCCAATAAACTCACTGCACACCCTCTGCTAATCAACAATTTTAATCCACAGAATCACACTCAATTTTTCTTCCAGCAAACTGGACTAGTTGGTCTGGGACACTCTGAAATCACCTTTCAGTCTGGATTTGTCTAAATTCTTTAACTTTGCGCCTAGATAAAAGTTAAAAACTGAACAGCCACCTACCACAATCCCAACTCCCTCCCCCAGATAAATCAATTCCTGTTGCAACAGAGAGGAGAAAGAACATGATCATTATTAAAAATACAGTCTTGAACTAAGAATGCTTTGGCTGATCCTTCAGTTCCTTACATGTCAATGGTAGCAAGAGCTGTAGTTTTGACAATTAACTAGAACACATTTTTCCCCGTCTAAAGCAAGAAGTTATTGTTTGCCTCTGTTCTCAGCTCTGTTGTGAGGGGGATTCCGGCAAGAGACTGTTCTCAGGACGAGCACTGTGTATTTAAAGCCTTGTCAAGGTTTATCTCCCTGGGACCTATCCACCGCCTGACTTTCCATCATCATCATATCAAGGGACAGCACCCAAAAATGTAGATAAATGTACAAGAAAGGACATTCAAACGCTAGCTTATTTTTGGAACAGAGTTGCGAGTATAGTCCCAGTCCATTAGAAAGCTACTGGTATTGTACAGATGTTTCACAGTAAGAATTGTCTCCCAGGCAGTGCATCTCAGGAAGATTATTATACATCTCAATAAAAGCAGGAATGTCTAATCTTCACCTTAAGGACAAAAACGTAGTGACTAACCTGGCATTACAACTAACTGACATGCCATGAGCTCGTTACACAAAAGGGGTGTGGATTTCAGGCCTAGGGACTTTTTACCTTGGAACTCTGGAAATGGTGTTAAAAAAAACAACACACGACTGGGGCTAAGAACCAACCGGTGCAGGCTGGGAACTTTGTTTTGAGAACTGGACTCTTGTTATCTTCCGAGACTGTTCAAGGTTGCTCTGCTTATGGGGTAATACTGTTTGGGTTAAGACTACTGGAAAACTCTGGGAAGAGTTGCTATAACAGATTAGGTAGCTTTCATGACTATGCAAGTATGAAAGCCAGAAAAAATTCTGCTGGCAGTGGGGATGGGAAGCTCTTAGCTGACTGTAGTTGGTCTTTCAGAGTATCCTTTTTCTTTGCTTTTTTTCTATTCCACTTTAAGGCCTCAACACTCTACACACAATGTTTGTACTATTTATGGATTCAAGTTATAGGTGCAATTTTTTTTACCGAAATAGATAAATGGTGAGACCTCTAGTATGGGCAAAGTATTATCAGTAAAAAGCATACTCCCCTTCTCTACAGGGGAAAGGCACCTTTATACTGATAACATTGCATTCACACGAGGGGAGCTGTACGGCTTTAACTATACTGGTACCCTTTGTAGAACAGTTTGTTTACACAGACCAGGCTTGAATTACCCGTAGGGAGTGAAAGCTACTGAAGCTTAGAACATGCTATTTCATAGATTCTAGGGCTGGAAGGGACCTCGAGAGGTCATTGAGTCCAGTCCCCTGCCCGCATGGCAGGACCAAATACTGTCTAGACCATCCCTGATAGACATTTATCTAACCTACTCTTCAATATCTCCAGAGATGGAGATTCCACAACCTCCCTAGGCAATTTATTCCAGTGTTTAATCACCCTGACAGTTAGGAACTTTTTCCTAATGTCCAACCTGGACCTCCCTTGCTGCAGTTTAAACCCATTGTTTCTGGTTCTATCCTTAGAGGCTAAGGTGAACAAGTTTTCTCCCTCCTCCTTATGACACCCTTTTAGATACTTGAAAACTGCTATCATGTCCCCTCTCAGTCTTCTCTTTTCCAAACTAAACAAACCCAATTCTTTCAGCCTTCCTTCATAGGTCATGTTCTCAAGACCTTTAATCATTCTTGTTGCTCTTCTCTGGACCGTCTCCAATTTCTCCACATCTTTCTTGAAATGCAGTGCCCAGAACTGGACACAATACTCCAGCTGAGGCCTAACTAGCGCAGAGTAGAGCGGAAGAATG